AAGCAGCAAATTAAATTTTGGTCATAGGAGGGGAGGCTAGAATGAAAATGAAAAATATTGTTTTGCTGCTTGAAATACCACATGTAGTTGATGAAGATATTAGGGAAAAAGTTTTCTTACTAAGTAGCTGCGGTTATCTTATAAGGAAACGGTAGGGGATTTAAACTTCTTCACACCAAGAAGAAAGTGGGAGGGGAGGGAGGACTTCATGATGGAGCAGGCTGCAGGAACCCTGGCAGGTTTCTTTGCTCAACTCGATAGAGGTGAATTGCTTTAAAGCTAGAGCACGTAATCTAATAATTAGGAAATCAGAAGTTAATGGGAAACTTGCTCAAAATGTGTTCTACGTGAATTAATGAACTTATTCAGCAAGTTGGGGCAACTTTGCCTCTAGAAAAGGGGTTGACAAGGGTTGGTAGGAAGTCAAACGTAGTAAGCATGAGCCAGAGGAGTCTTGACTCTCACCTGAGATGGTTTTCCACTTGCAGTTGCAAAAATGTGGTGTACAAGCAAAGAAGGCAAAAATCTGTGAGGACTGAAGAGAGAAGGTTTGGCAACATCCCGTATCTCTAAAAAAACCAAACAGGACAAACCCCTCACCACCAAGAAACAAGCACCTCCCAGACTCAGTAAGGCATCCAAGTACCTTCTTCGTACGTCGCAGGTGGTCAAAGTACCTTCTTCATCTATCCCAGGGTTCGTGGCTGGCAGCACCCCTGCCCGTAGAGGGGGTGCTGAGGTGGGTGAGTGGACAAGGACGGTTCCAGCATCTCTTCCAGACCCTCTAATATCCAGAGCATAACTTTAAAATAAAAAGAGCAATAACACTTGCCAAGCATTTTCTAGCTAGTGAATATTTCTCCTTTTCTTCTTTCCATATTTCATTTCAGGAAAAACTGTGTAACGTTTTCAGGCAGGCCTACCTACGGTAACGTTGTCAGCTCAATGATGGGGGAGCTGGTGCTCTACCTCTGCTAAAGGAGGTGGATTCCAGCTTTCCATCGGTGCTTGCCTTGATGAGCTTGCCAGTGTGAGATCAGCGTTTGGCTTCCCATGGCAGCAGGGGATGGTGGCGATACCTCCGTCAGCTCCCAAACTGAGCCTGCAAGAGGCCGCCGGGGTGGCAGGAGTGGCAAGAGGAAACCTGCCTCTCTTGGGGAAGGCAGGGTTGTTTTTTCTGTGTTCTTGTAGTCTTTGCTCCCTGCTCCCTTTTCTTTCTTTGTTCTAAGAGGTGGAGCAATAAGCCTGGTTTAGACCTAGAGACAGGAAAAAGAGAACATTAAAACCGATGAGGAGACCCCTCTTCTTCCCTAATGGTCTTCCCCAGGGAAACAGTAGTAATATTTACTTGACAGGGACTTGTGTGCTGGATAACTGCTGCTTTTGATTTCATAGACTCATAGAATTCTTTGGGATGGAAGGGACCTTTAAAGGTCACCTAGTCCAACCCCCAGCCATGGGCAGGGACATCTTCAACCAGATCAGGGTGCTCACAGCCCCGTCCAGCCTGGCCTTGGATGTTTCCAGGGATGGGGCATCCACCACCTCTCTGGGCAACCCCTTCCAGTGTTTCACCACCCTCAGCATGAAACATTTCTAGATGCTTCATGTGAAAGCTCCTGCTAGCTCTTCAGGCAGCGGCACAGAGATTCTTCAGGTGTGTACTGAAGGACGTTTAACACATCGCCCAGCATTTTTAGATGGGTAATTAAAAAAGCCGTGTTACAATTTCAATGTCCACCCTAGATACCTTGTATGCCTGCTGGTCTTCAGCACTAACATGAGTTTATTCCCTTTGCTTGCCTTTTTTTTGTTGTTAATCTACAGAGAGGCAAGCTTTTCTCTTCCCTTTCTACCTGCTCCTCTCCTGCACGGAGGTGATGTCTGCGGATTGATTCAGCTTTCTGCAAGAGGTTAAGGTTTCTCCAGCTGCTGCTCCTCTCTCGTTGGTTTCAGAGGAGCAAGGTTTGCTGGTCGAGCTGCACCAGCACGCTGTACTGGGGGGCTTTGATGGCATCGTGGGGTTAATCCCACATCACGCTCTTGACGAACGTGGCCGTGCCAGCAGAACTTCCCAACATTGTGCGATTTCCCTAAATTATCCAAATTAATACCTCCTCGCATGTCATGTTTTCCCTCTTTAAAATTTATTTTGGTTTTCTTATTCTCTAATGAATGTCTTTGTACTTCTACTCGAAGGCCTTGATTGGGACTGACCTCATTTCTGCAAATACATCTAAATTTTGTGTGTGTGTGTGTGGCATCGCTGTGGTTAGAGAACGTGGCGGTCCAGGACTCCGGCTGAAGAGGGGCAGGAGACGGGGGTTCAGCACGAAGCAAGGGAGCGCAGCGACACAGCGTCCATTACATTCACATCTTGCACCTTCTCGTGCACTGAAAGACCCATGCGAAACCAGATTTTTTTTGCGTTAGTACTCGTTTGAACGATTTTTCTTAACTTTTGACCATTTACACCTGGTTTCTGAGCGGTGACCGGGGGCGGTGATGTGTCTGTAGGCAGACGGATAGCCTCCATCTCTGTGCAGCTCATCACAGCTTCTCTCTGCAGTAACAGCATCCGGTTATTATGAACCTAATCGTTTCGACTTCTGGTCAAGAAAAAACAGAAAAAGGACCAAAACCCCCCCCAAAAAGGGTGATTCTCCTGAGTGTGGCAGCACAATACAAGAAGGTATTGATGCTGTTGCAGCTAAAGAAAGATCCCACCGACAAGGTTAATGGGAGGTGGGTACAGTACTTCTCTCTGTCTCTTTAGCAGCTAGAGACGAACAAAAAGGCGAGCTTTCTGATAATCCCCCAGCATTAAAGGTTGCTGCAATTCTGTCCTCCTGCTAAAGCGAGGTGGTGCCTGGAAACCCTCGTGCATTCAGCGCACGCAGCGGTGTTGGACACGTAGGGGAACCTTTAGTATTTGCTAAGCAGAGCTTATTGACTTCCTTGGCCGTACATGTGTAAAGATGTAAAAATGTTCCAAAACTTGGACTTGAAGCAAATTAGCTCTCAAACCGGCTCTGCTAAATGGAATAGTAATGGCAAAGGCATCGAGATTCGAGGTGTAAAAGCAGCGGAAAGAAGGATTGTTGGTCCCATGGTTGATGGCGAGGCGTGCTTTCCACAAAATTGTCGGTGGAGGAAGACTTGGGGGAGGTGGTTTTCTCCCCCATTTGCTTGGACCCAGATTATTTTCTGCTTCTTTCTTGCCACAAAAGGAATCATTTGTTTAATTTTACAAAATGTTACTGAAGCTGTTGGAACTGAAACTGCAGCCCACGTCCTCTTGATAAATGACTGTGTGTATTCCTGGAAGGAAGTTAAAACGGGGCTGTGTTATATTTGGTACCTCCCGAAGCACTGAGGCTACTTTGAGTACAGAATGTGCTCCGAGAGAGACTAATTTGCCGCTGCAGAGCTTGATGTGATGAGATTTGTCAAGTCGTCGTTTCCGCTGGAATTCACTTATGCTTTCCTCTCTCTCCTAAAGATGTTTGCTTATATATTTTAGAGTTATGTCTTTGAACTGGAGGACCATCAAGGCAAGGCAAAAAGCCTAAAACCGGGATTAAATTCCAAGCAATGAATATGCTTATTATAAGGTGGAAATACAGAAGTCGAGCACCCGTACAACAGGTGGAAATATTACCGAGCCGTTTCCCTGAGCGGCTCGCGCTCTTGGTAGCAACAGCGTTGGTATTATCCGGGCGTTTGAGCATCAGCGGGGTGGGTTTTGACTTCTCTCCAAGGATGCCATCTCAGATGGGATGGTCGTGGTTTCCTACAGTAGGCGATTCCGGGAACTTCAGTAAAAACGAAGATTTATCTTTTTTTTTTTTTTTTTTTTTTTT